CCAGGATAACGGGAAAGAGCTATGGTATAAAGATTAATCTCTGATTAAAAGTTTTTTTTTTTTGTTTTAAAATTAGTGTCGGATTTTACGCTGTTCATTGATAAGTTTGATGGTTACAATTCGTAGTGGGAATAACAGTAAAAAACATCCTCCTTCCCAAGTTTATAGACAAAACATACAGATGCATGCTGGGATTTCTTCCTAACCAATAAGATTAGACCACGTCTCGGTTTCATCCAACTCAGTTCCGGTCTTTCTTGTCGCCGATTTCATGTCTCAATTCCCTTTTGTATGTTAACAAAATTCTTAGTGTTTGAACTTTGCCCTATTAATGTTGTTTTTTGTCTTATTACTGTTGCCTATATATATATATATATATATATATATATATATATATATATATATATATATATATATATATTGTTTGCTTGCTTAATCTTTTTGCCTTGTCCTTTTCGTTCCCTAGTTAATGTTTATTGCAAATTTTCTCAATTATATTTAACCATAGCCAATTATTCTATAGAGTTAAGCTGATTTCCACGCCCAGGCCACACATATTATCCCGTGTATTTTGATATGTTCGGTTATTTCATAAACGGTCGAAAATAACTGAGAATAGCATTATATTTTTTTATCATTTTATTAGAAACAGATTTTTTTTATCAAGGGAAAATTAGCTTTGTACTTAACAGTGAATAAAGTGAACCGTAACATTTCAGGGATATAATGAACGGAAAAATAATTCTTACACTTAGAAACAAAAATAAAACAAAACTTATGTCCTGCTTCCCAGACAGTTGATAAGGCACTGCAATAAATCGAATCCACTGATTACGAATATATCCTCAAAAACTTTCCGTGAAGGTCCGTTTCTTCTTAATATATGCGCATGACTTAAGAATTCGAGTTCGCTTCATAAGTAGCTTCATCAGATCGAGGCTCTTATGGACAGCATCCGGGATTTCTAACGCGTTCAGGCATGTCCGAACTAGGTATTTGCTCTGTCTGCCCATTAAGACGTGACCCAAGGTCATTTTTTAAGGTGGGAACCCGAGCGTGACACCCGAGCTAGGAAAAAAAATTAATCGCAGCCCCAGCAACCGTCGGTTGCGCTCCCTCTCTCTGGTACAATGAGAAGGTATGGCCTCGGGCAAGCTGTTCCACGGGGATGGGCATCTCCCAGTATAATTTTCCTCAGTTGCGACTCTGTCCTTCAACTAAGGTATAAGATATTGTAGGGCATAAACGGTGATTATCCCTCTTTTGTTGAGATAGCCACAAGGATCATGTGACGGCCAGGGAAGGATGCCAGAGGAAAAGAGTGACGTCGAGCCGTTGTAATGTATTGCCTGTAGAAGAAGACCAGCGTAGAATGATTAATCTCCGATTTACATTTCCCCCGTTATGGACATTATTATATTCATAACTGTAACAACACCGTAGTTCACGGACGTAACTGAAAGCAAAAAGAATGACAAACATGCTTTTTTCTCAGTGACTTTCATAATACTAAGACATACAAAAAAACCATATATTCATATATCCGATCCAAAAATAATAACACATATGCAGCAACACACGGTGTGTAAAAAAAGCAAAATGGAGTTACGGCGGTTTCTCCTTGAACCTAGTTAGGCCATCTGGTTTTTCTTCTATGGCCCACCACCGTAGGCTAGGGACGTCCTCCTTTTTCAGGTTCTACATCGCAACTGCCCTTCGTCACTCTATCCGCTGACGTCATTCACTGGTCGTCACGTGACACTCTTAACTATCTAAACAAAAGGGAGACACTCGCCGTTTGTATCCATACAACATAATAATGTTAAACATAAAAAAAATATACTATTAAAAAAATATAAACAATTAAAAATATATGCTATTATGATAACATGAAGCTTACTTGTTGTCACTCGAAGCTAGCAAGTGGTGTGTTCGAAGAACCATAGCATAAAAAATAATATCCATCGTAAAAATTTAAAAAATGGAATTCGTAAATACTAAACATTTCACATACCTTGAGTTATGGATCAATCAAAAGAAAATTAGTCTAGAGGAAAAGGAATTTGTAAATAAAAAAATTGAACTAGCTGTGCTAGGATTAATTTCGCACAACACGGCAAATTGCTAAGAAAAAAATCCCAAAAAACATTAACCTAAAAACTCGAATCATGTTCTTAAATAGCCTCGGCAAATCGAGACTTTCATGTGGATGTCATGCATTGGCGCCGGATATGTTCAGAAATATTTAAATTGCCAGATGTTTACAGCCGCTTTCTCAGATCAATCGTTAAAAATGGCCTCAGGCGAATGAATTCCGTAGCTTTTAACGAGGAACATTTTTACTTTGAACCTCGTGGACTGGAGCTTCAAAATAAGAAATGGCAGAAACTACATCACTTAAGGATTTCAACAACAACTAAAATGAATGGACCATATAAAAAGGAGAGAGAATAATGGCATAATGCATGTTGATTTTCCACACAACTTGAAACAAAACATGTATTTATAATTATGAAAAAAATCATATGAAAAGTTATATAATGGAGTATTGCTGCCAAATATGGTCTGGTGCTCCTTCTGTTTGCCTCGGGGTTCTTGATAGGCTCCAGAGGCGGATATGCAATGTAGTTGGCCCTGCTCTGGCATCTCGTCTACAGTCACTTTCTCACAGACGCGCTGTCGCCTCCCTCTGTCTGTTCTACAAATACTTTCATGGCAATTGCTCCGAGGAGCTGCATTCGCTGGTTCCCAGATGTCATGAGTTCAAGCGCTCTACGAGGCTGGCATCCCGCTCTCACCCCTTCACTGTCGAAACTCCTAAATGTAGCCGTCTCTTCTACTCCAATAGCTTCATGTCTCGCACCTCTCGCCTGTGGAACACCCTTCCCTATTCCAGTTTCCCTGTGAGCTATAATCTCCAGCTATTCAAATGTAATGTCAATCGACGTCTCCAGTTGCCTTGATCTATCCACTCCCTTTTTCCTCATCCTTTCTTCTATCACTCCTATCTGATCTTGCTCTAAATTTTCTGTAACCCCTTGCGTCCTAGTGGCTTCCCGCCTGGCTTGAGGTGAAATGCTTAAAAAAAGAAAAATATATATATATATATATATAAAAAAACTTAATCAAACCACCTTGTCTATCATATTTAATGAAACTTGCAGGAAAGAAGGATTGTTGACTAAATACAATATATATATATATATATATATATATATATATATATATGTATGGAGGCACGGTGAAGCACTTACGTGCTAATACCCCTGGGGAAGCTATGAATCCTCATCTTTTCCCTATACTTAAGGATAAATTTCAGGACAGACAGGGTTCTATAGCATTAGATAGCAGCTGGTCAAGGAGAAGGACAACTTGTACAAAACCTGCGATGGGTCGTTTGTAGTGCACTGGGTCTCTGTATTCAAAAAGTGCGGTTGGTTCTGCACAAAGCCTTAAGCACTTAAATCCTATCTGCTGGTATCTGGGCTGTCGGTTCTGAGATGCTTCACCCTCATACCTCGACGGGAGAGTCCACTATATATTCCTTTTCATGTAAAAAAAAAAACTCTACACAAATGCAATCAGGTTTCGATGCATATTAACACATTTCATGAGATGTGTTAATGCACATCGAAACATGATTTGCTTTGTGTAGCGTTTTTTGTATATTTTTGATAAAATATGGAAAATTGCTCTCCTTTTGTATTGAGCCCTCTTTCAAATTCGTCTTCATTTTACATGGACACACACACACACACACACATATATATATATGCTTATATATTTATACACATATATATATATATATATATATATAATAAATTTTTTGTTTAAAAATATGATTCCTTCGCTACATAAGAGTTCTCATGTTTCAAAAACGAGAGCCGAAACCATCTAAATAATTATTAAAATTAAGTTGAATTGTGGTGTTTAGTCCCGTTTCATCTTCAAGCGAAATTTTAGGAATAAGCTATCTCTCGGTTTAGGTGTGTTTTTAGGCATGGTCCTTTACAGAATTCGTTATTGTGGGAGTGGCTAGACTATTTTTCTTCGTTAAGTAGTCAGAGAGTTAATTCTTATCAATAGATTCATCATCTTCTGAGAGGTTTTGCTAAGGTTGGGTAGGGTATCTATTTCAAGGCTAATGTTTGCGGTCACCCTTTAGTTGGTTCCCAGTGAGAGATATTTTTATGGCGCGCCTACAAGTCAAGTTTATGTGTCAGGAGAATTGTCTTTTATTATTGTCCATCTGATTATCTATTTATTTATTTGTTTATTCTAGTGGGTGTTTTATATACAAATCGTATTGCACTGAATTTCAATTTGTTTACGAAAGAAAGGAAAAATGAAGTAAATTAAAAAACGATAAAGATTGGTGAACTGTTAAAAAGAAACCGAAAATATGCAGTCTGTTTGAATAAAGAAAGAAAAAGGAGGAGAAAATATATATGAATAAAAAAAAATGAATAAAGAAAAGAATGAAAGAAGAAAAAAAAAATGAAAGAGTGTCAGAAACAAAAAGAAAGGACATTAAAAACGAAGAAAAATGAAAATTGCCACACCGTTGAGAAAGAAAGCGAAAATAGTCATACTTTGAAGAAAGAAAAAAAGAAAAAAGAGAAAATATATGATTAAAATGAAACTAATAAAGTAAGTAATGAATGAAGAAGGAAATAAGAAATTGAAAACGATAAAAAACTGAAAATAATCTCACTTTGTTTGAAACAAAAGAAAGAAAGAAAAAGAAAGAAAGAAAAAGAAGGAACGAAAGAAAGAAGAAAAGTAGGAACAATACGAAAGTAAGAAAGAAAGAAAATAGAAACATGAAAGAAAGAAAGACCAAAAAAAGTTAAAGAAAAGAACGAAAGATTGACAGAAAGAAGAAAGAACGACAGAAAGTAAAAAGAAAGAAAGAACGAAAGAAAGAAAGAACGAAAGAAAGAAACAAACAAAAAAGAGAGAAAGAAGAAATGACAAAATAAATAAAGGAAAAAAATGAATCAAAAAAGAAAGAAGGGAAATAGAAAGAAAAAACAAAGGACGAAAGAAAAAGATAGAAGGAAAGAAACAAAGAAAGAATGAAAGAACGAAAGAAAGAAAGAAAAGTAAAGAGAGCAAAAAGAAAAAAGAAAGAAAGAAAGCAAAAAGAAAGAAAGAAAGAAAAACCAAACGAAAGAAAGAAAGAAGAAAGAGGGAAAGAAAGAAAAGACGAAAGAACGAACAAAAAACAGAAGATTAGAAAATAAATGTTTAAAAGCTAGATTAAAGAAGTAAGGAATGACAGGAGAAATAAAGAAAAATGAAAAATCGAAGGAAGGAAGGAATGAAAGGAAGGAACGAACGAAGGAATGAAAGAAGGTAGGAAGTACGTGAGTAAGTAAGTAAGTAAGTAAGGAAGGAAGGAATGAAAGGAAGGAATGAATGAAGGAATGAAAGAAGGGAGGAATGAAGGAAGGAAGGGAGGAACGACGGTGAGAAGAAAGGAAGGAAGGAATGAAAGAAGGAAGGAAAGAAAGAAAGAAGAAAGGAAAGAGAAGAAAGAAAGGAAGGAAGGGAGGAAGGAAGGAAAAAAGAAAGAAAGAAGGACAGAAAGAAGGAAGAAAACAAGGTAGGAAGGAAGGAAAGAAGGAATGAAAGAAGGAAGGAAGGAAGGAATGAAGGAAGGAAAGAAGAAAGGATGGAAGGAAAGCAAGATAAAAGGAAGGAATGACATATGAGCGCAGACAACGCTTAGCCCTACAACACGAGACACAGATTTTCATACGGGATCGGTACAGGATTTATAGATGAGCACCGAAGAACGCTTGGAGCTTCGCAGTAAAACATACGACATGAGAGAAAGATTTACATACGGTATCGGTACAGGATTTAGAGACGAGCATCGAAGAACGCTTGGAGTTTCGCAGTAAACTATACGACATGAGACACAGATTTCATCTTCGATTGGGACAGGATTGATATATGAGAGCCGAAGAACGCTTGGAAATTCGCCGTAAAACCTACGACACGAGAAAAAAATTGACAAACGGTATCGGTACAGGAATTATATACGGGCATCGAGGAACGCTTGGAGATTCGCAGTAAAGTTTTCGACATGAGACAGATTTCATCTTCCATTGGGACAGGATTGATATATGAGAGCCGAAGAACTCTTGGAGATTCGACGTGAAACCTACGACACGAGACAAAGTTTGACAAACGGTATCGGTACAGGATTTATATACGAGCATCGAAGAACGCTTGGACTTTCGCAGTAAACTCTTCGATATGAGACACAGATTTCATCTTCGATTGGGTCAGGATTGATATATATGAGCCGAAGAACGCTTGGAAATTCGCCGTAAAACCTACGACAAGAGACAAAGATTGACAAACGGGAACGCTACAGGATATATATACGAGCATCGAAGAATGCTTGTAGTTTCGCAGTAAACCCAACGACATGAGACACAGATTTCATCTTAGATTGGGACAGGATTGATATACGAGAAACGACAAACGCTTGGAAATTCGCCGTAAATCCTAAGACACGAGACAAAGATTTACATACGGTATCGGTACAGGATTTATATACGAGCATCGAAGAACGCTTGGAGTTTCGCAGTAAACCCTACGACATGAGACACAGATTTCATCTTCGATTGGGACAGGATTGATATATGAGAGCCGAAGAACGCTTGGATATTCACCGTAAAACCTACGAGACGAGACAAAGATTGACAAACGGGATCGGTAGATGATTTATATACGAGCATCGAAGAACGCTTGGAGTTTCGCAGTAAATCTACATGAGACACAGATTTCATCTTCGATTGGGACAGGATTGATATATGAGAACCGATGAACGCTTGGAAATTCGCCCTAAAACCTACGACACGAGACAAAGATTGACAAACGGGATCGGTACAGGATTTATACACGAGCATCGAAGAACGCTTGGAGTTTCGCAGTAAACACTACTACATGAGACACAGGTTTCATCTGCGATTGGGACAGGATTAATATATGAGAGACAAAGAACGCTAGGAGTTTCGCAGTAAACCCTACGACATGAGACACAGATTTCATCTTCGATTGGGACAGGATTGATATATGAGAGCCGAAGAACGCTTGGATATTCGCCGTAAAACCTACGACACGAGACAATGATATAAATACGGGATCGGTAGATGATTTATATACGAGCATCGAAGAACGCTTAGAGTTTCGTAGTAAATCTACATGAGACACAGATTTCATCTTCGATTGGGACAGGATTGATATATGAGAGCTGAAGACCGCTTGGATATTCACCGTAAAACTTACGACACGAGACAAAGATTTACATACGGGATCGGTACAGGATTTATATACGAGCATCGAAGAATGCTTTGAGTTTTGCAGTAAACCCTACGATATGAGACACAGATTTCATCTTCGATTGCGACAGGATTGATATATGAGAGCCGAAGAACTCTTGGAAATTCGCCGTAAAACATACGACACGAGACAATGATATAAATACGGGATAGGTACAGGATTTATATACGAGCATCGAAGAACACTTGGATTTTCGCAGTAAACACTACGACATGAGACACATATTTCATCTTCGATTGCGAAGGATTAATATATGAGAGACAAAGAACGCTAGGAGTTTCGCAGTAAACCCTACGACATGAGACACAGATTTCATCTTCGATTGGGACAGGATTGATATATGAGAGCCGAAGAACGCTTGGATATTCACCGTAAAACCTACGAGAAGAGACAAAGATTGACAAACGGGATCGGTAGATGATTTATATACGAGCATCGAAGAACGCTTGGAGTTTCGCAGTAAATCTACATGAGACACAGATTTCATCTTCGATTTGGACTGGATTGATATATGAGAACCGATGAACGCTTGGAAATTCGCCGTAAAACCTACGACACGAGACAAAGATTGACAAACGGGATCGGTACAGGATTTATATACGAGCATCGAAGAACGCTTGGAGTTTCGCAGTAAACCCTAAGACATGAGACACAGATTTCATCTTCGATTGGGACAGGATTGATATATGAGAGCCGAAGAACGCTTGGAAATTCGCCGTAAAACCTACGACACGAGACAAAGATTTACATACGGTATCGATACAGGATTTTATACTAGTATCGAAGAACGCTTGGAGTTTCGCAGTAAACACTACTACATGAGACACAGATTTCCTCTGCGATTGGGACAGGATTGATATATGAGAGCCGAAGAACGCTTGGAAATTCGCCGTAAAACATACGACACGAGACAATGATATAAATAGGGGATAGGTACAGGATTTATATACGAGCATCGAAGAACACTTGGATTTTCGCAGTAAACACTACGACATGAGACACATATTTCATCTTCGATTGCGACAGGATTGATATATGAGAGACGAAGAACGCTAGGAGTTTCGCAGTAAATACGACATGAGACACAGATTTCAAACAGGATTGATATATGAGACGAAGAACAATGGATATTTAAAACCTACGAGACGAGACAAAGATTGACAAACGGGATCGGTAGATGATTTATATACGAGCATCGAAGAACGCTTGGAGTTTCGCAGTAAAACCCTACGATGAGACAAAGATTTCATCTTCGATTGGGACTGGATTGATATATGAGAACCGAAGAACGCCTGGAAATTCGCCGTAAAACCTACGACACGAGACAAAGATTGACAAACGGGATCGGTAGATGATTTATATACGAGCATCGAAGAACGCTTGGAGTTTCGCAGTAAACCCTAAGACATGAGACACAGATTTCATCTTCGATTGGGACAGGATTGATATATGAGAACCGAAGAACGGTTGGAAATTCGCCGTAAAAACCAACGACACGAGACAAAGATTGACAAACGGGATCGATACAGGATTTATATACGAGCATCGAAGAACGCTTGAGTTTCGCAGTAAACACTACTACATGAGACACAGATTTCATCTTCGATTGGGACTGGATTGATATATGAGAGCCGAAGAACGCTTGAAAATTCGCCGTAAAAAAACGAGACAAAAGATCGACAAACGGGATCGGTACAGGATTTATTACGAGCATTGAAAACGCTTGAAGATTCGCAGTAAACCCTACCGACACGAGACACAATTTCATCTTCGATTGGGACAGGATTTTATGGATCGAAGAACGCTTGGACATACGGTAAATTACGACACGAGAAAATATTTACATAGGGTTCGGTACAGGATTCATATACGAGCAGCGAAGAACGCTTGAATTTCGCAGTAAACATTACGACATGAGACACAGATTTCATCTTCGATTGGGACAGGATTGATGTATGAGAGCCGAAAAGAAATTCGCCGTTTACGACACGAGAAAAATATTCACTCGGTACAGGATTTATATACGAGCATCTAAGGACGGTTGGAGTTTCGCCGTAAACCCGACGACATAAGACAAACTTTCAATTGGGAAAGGATTGCTATATGAGAGCCGAAGAACGCTTGTTAATTCGCAGTAAAACATACGAAACGCGACATTGCTTTTTTTTCTGGATTGGTACAGGGTTTATATACGAGCATTGAAGAACGCTTGGAATTTCGCAGTAAACATTACGACATGAGACACAGATTTCATCTTCGATTTGGACAGGATTGATATATGAGAGCCGAAGAACGCTTGGAAATTCGCCGTAAAACCTACGACACGAGACAAAGATTTACATACTGGATCGGTCCAGGATTTATATACGAGCATCGAAGAACGCTTGGAGTTTCGCAGTAAACCCTACGACATGAGACACAGATTTCATCTTCGATTGCGACAGGATTGATATATGAGAGCCGAAGAAGAACGCTTTGGTAAACCCGACGACATGAGAAAACTTCAAAAGGATTGAAGACAAAGGTTTTCATTCACCGATCGGTGAGACACAGATATTTATACGTGATCGGAGGATTTCGAATCGAATAACGCTTGGATTTTTCGCTGTAAACCTTACGACATGAGACACAGATTCCATCTACGATTGGGACAGGATTGATATATGAGAACGCTTGAAGCCGTATATCCTACGACACAGGACAAAGATTTATATTCGGGATCGGTACAGGATTTATATACGAGCATCAATGAAACCTTGGAGTTTCGCAGTAAACCCGACGACATTAGCCAAATATTTCATCTTCAATTGGGAAAGGATTGCTATATGAAAGCCGAAGAACGCTTGGAAATTCGTCGTGGAAACTACGACACGAAACAAAGATTTATATATGGGATCGGTACAGGATTTATCTACGAGCATCGAAAACACAGAGTTTCTCAGTAAACCCTACGGCATGAGACAAAGATTTCGTCTTCGATTGGGACAGGATTAATATATGAGGGTCGAAGAACGCTTGGAAATTCGCCGTGAAATCTACAACACGAGACAAAGTTTTACATACGGGATCGGTCCAGGATTTATATACGAGCATCGAAGAACGCTTGGAGTTTAGCTGCAAACCCTACGAGATGAGACAAAAATTTCATCTTCGATTGGGACAGGATTGATATACGAGAGCCGAAGAACGCTTGGAAATTCGCCGTAAATACTACGACACGAGAAGAAGATTTACATACGGGATCGGTACAGGATTTAAATACGAGCATCGAAGAACGCTTGGAATTTCGCAGTAAACCCTACGACATGAGACACAGACTTCATCTTCGATTGGGACAGGATTGATGTATGACAGCCGAAGAAAACGATTACATACGGGATCGGTGCAGGATTTATATACGAGCATCGAAGAACGCTTGGATTTTCGCTGTAAACCCTACGACATGAGACAAAGATTTAATCTTCGATTGCGACAGGATTAATGTATGAGAGCCGAAGAACGCTTGGGATTTGGCCGTAAAACCTACGACACGAGACAAAGATTTACTTACTGGGAATGATTTATTTTCTGGATCGGTACAGGGTTTATATACGAGCATCAAAGAACGCTTGGAATTTCGCAGTAAACATTACGACATGAGACACATATTTCATCTTCGATTGGGACAGGAATGATATGTGTTAGCCGAAGATACTTGGAAATTCGCCGTGAAAACTACGACACGAGATAAAGTTTTAAATACGGGTTCGGTTCAGGATTTATATACGAGCATCGAAGAACGCTTGGAGTTTCGCTGTAAACCCTACGACATGAGACACAGATTTCATCTTCGATTGGGACAGGATTGATATATGAGAGCCGAATACGCTTGGAAAATCGCCGTAAAACATACGACACGTGACAAAGATTTACTTACTGGATCGGTACAGGATTTATATACGAGCATCGAAGAACGCTTGGAATTTCGCAGTAAGCTTTACGACATGAGACACAGATTTCATCTTCGATTGGGACAGGATTGATATATGAGAGCCGAAGAATGCTTGGAAATTCGCAGCAAATACTAACACACGAGACAAGGATTTACATACGGGATCGGTACAGGATTTATCTACGAGCATCGAACAACGCTTGGAGTTTGGCTGTAAATCCTACGACATGAGACAGATTTCATCTTCCATTGGGACAGGATTGATATTTGAGAGCCGAAGAACGTATGGAAATTCGCCGTAAAACCTACGAAACGAGACAAAGTTTTACATACGGGATCGGTGCAGGATTTATATACAAGCATCGAAGAATGCTTGGAGTTTCGCAGTAAACCCTACGACATGAGAGAAAGAATTCATCTTCGATTGGGACAGGATTCATATATGAGAGACGAAGAACGCTTGAAAATTCGCCGTAAAATTACGACATGTGGAAAAGATTTAAATATGAGATCGGTACTGGATTTTTATACGAGCATCGAAGAACGCTTGGAATTTTCTCAGTAAACCCTACGGATATTTCATCTTGAAGGATTGATATATGATAGCCGCAGAACGCTTCGAAATTCGCCGGGACAGGTGACAAAGATTACTGGATCGTTACAAGATTTATGACGAGCATCTAAGAACGCTTGGTGTTTCGCAGTAAACACGACGACATGAGAGAATATTTCATCTTCGATTGGGACAGGATTGATATATGAGAGCCGAAAACGCTTTGAAATACGCCGTAAAAACTACGACACGAGAAAAAAATTTACATACGGGATCGGTACAGGATTTATATACGAGCATAGAAGAACGCTTGGAGCCGCGCAGTAAACCCGACGACATGAGACACAGATTTCATCTTCAATTGGGAAAGGATTTATATATGAGAAACGATGAACGCGTAGAAATTGTATAATTCGACAGTAAAAGATTTACATACGGGATCCGTACAAGTTTTATATACGAGCATCGTAGAACTCTTGGAAAATTTTTTGCATACGGTATTGGTACAGGGTTTATATACGAGCGCCGAAGAACGCTTGGAGTTTCGCAGGAAACCCTACGACATGAGACACAGATTTCATATTAGATTGGTACAGGATTGATATATGAGAGCCGAAGAACTCTTGGAAATTCGCCGTAAATCCTACGACAGGAGACAAAGATTTACAAACGTGAAAATTACATGATTTATATACGAGCATCGAAGAACGCTTTGAGTTTCGCTGTAAACACTACGAAACCCAGATTTCATCTTCGATTGGGACAGATGAGAGCCGAAGAACGCTTGGAAATTCTTAAAATCGGTACAATGTTTTATATAAAAGCATCGAAGAATCGCTTGGAATTTCGCAGTAAACCCTACGACATGAGACACAGATTTCATCTTCGATTGGGACCGGATTGATGAGAGCGGAAAACTCTTGAGACAGCCGTAAAAGAAAGACAAAGATTTACATACAGGATTGGTGCAGGATTTATATACGAGCATCGAAGAACGCTTGGATTTTCGCAGTAAACCCTACGACATGAGACAAAGATTTCTTCTTCGATTGGGACAGGATTGATATATGCGAGCCGAGGAACGCTTGGAGATTCCGAAGACGAGACAAACATTTACATACCTGATGGGATTTGAGCCTAAAAATTTTTGAGTTACGACACGAGAGAAAGATTTATCTTATTGGGAATTGATATATTTTCTGAAATCGCCGTAAAACGTACAGGGTTTATATACGAGTACATCAAAGAACGCGTCGAAGAAATTTCGCAGTAAACATTACGACATGAGAGATAGATTTCATCTTTGATTGGGACAGGATTGATAAATGAGAGACGCAGAACTTTTGGACATTCGCGGTAAAAACTTCGACACGAGACAAAGATTTACATATGGGATCGGTACAGGTTATATATACGGGCATCGAAGAACGCTTGGAGTTTCGCAGTAATCCCTACGACATGAGACACAGATTTCATCTTCGATTGGGACAGGATTGATATATGAGAGCCGAAAAACGCTTGGAAATTCGCCGTAAAACCTACGACACGAGACAAAGATTTACATACGGGATCGGTACAGGATTTATATACGAGCATCTAAAAATTTTTGGAGTTTCGCAGTAAACCCTACGACATGAGATACTGAATTCATCTTCGATTGGGACAGGATTGATATATGAGAGCCGAAGAACGAATGGAAATTCGCCGTATAAACTACGTCACGGGGCAAAGTTTGACATACGGGATCGGTACAGGATTTATATACGTGCATATAAGAACACTTGGAGTTTTGCAGTAAACCCTACGACATGAGACACAGATTTCATCTTCGATTGGGACAGGATTGATATTTGAGAGCCGAAGAACATATGGAAATTCGCCGTAAAATCTACGACACGAGACAAAGTTTTACATACGGGATCGGTGCAGGATTTATATACAAGCATCGAAGAATGCTTGGAGTTTCGCAGTAAATCCTACGACATGAGAGAAAGAATTCATCTTCGATTGGGACAGGATTCATATATGAGAGCCGAAGAACGCTTGGAAATTCCCCGTAATAATTACGACACGTGAAAAAGATTTAAATATGAGATCGGTACTGGATTTTTATACGAGCATCGAAGAACGCTTGGAATTTCTCAGTAAACCCTACGGCATGAGACAAAGATTTCATCTTCGATTGGGACAGGATTGATATATGATAGCCGTAGAACGCTTGGAAATTCGCCGTGAAAACTACGACAGGTGACAAAGATTTACTTACTGGATCGTTACAAGATTTATATACGAGCATCTAAGAACGCTTGGTGTTTCGCTGTAAACCCGACGACATGAGAGAAAGATTTCATCTTCGATTGGGACAGGATTGATATATGTGAGCCGAAGAACGCTTTGATATATGCCGTAAAATCTACGACACGAGAAAAAGATTTACATACGGGATCGGTACAGGATTTATATACGAGCATCGAAGAACGCTCGGAGCCGCGCAGTAAACTTTACAACATGAGACACAGATTTCATCTTCAATTGGGACAGGATTTATATATGAGAAACGATGAACGCGTAGAAATTGGCCGTAAAATTACGACACGAGAAAAGATTTACATACGGGATCCGTACAATTTTTATACGAGCATCGAAGAACATCGTAAAGAAATAAGACCCAGATTTCATTTTTTCGATTGGGAAAATCGAAGCCGAAAAAACTGAAATTCTCCGTAAAACACGACGACAAAGATTTGCATACGGGATCGGTACAGGATTTATATACGAGCATCGAAGAACGCTTGAGTTTCGCAGTAAACCCAGACATGAAACCATCTTCGATTGGGACGACATGAGACACAGAAATTTAAAACCTACGACACGAGACTAAGATTTAAAGATTGGTACAGGATTGATATCAAAACGTTTGAGAGTAAACCCCGAAGAATTCATCTTCGATTGAAATTCGCCGAAGAACGAATGGAAATCCTACGACAGGAGACAAAGGTTTACAAACGTGAAAAATTACATGATTTATATACGAGCATCGAAGAACGCTTGGAGTTTCGCTGTAAACACTACGACATGTGACACAGATTTCATCTTCGATTGGGACAGGTTTGATACATGTGAGCCGAAGAACGCTTGGAAATTCGCCGTAAAACCTACGACAAGAGACAATGTTTTACATACGAAACGTACAGGATTTATAGATGGGCACAAAAGAACGCTTGAGTTTCGCAGTAAACCCTACGACATGAGACACAGATTTCATCTTCGATTGGGACCGGATTGATATGAGAGAACTTTAGAGAAAACTCAAGACGAAGATATACATACAGGGAAGACTCGCCGTAAAACGTACGACATGAGACAAAAATTTCATCTTCATACAGGATTGGTACAGGTAAAATGGAGACAAATTATATACGATATAAGAGCATGGAAGAACGCTTGGAGTTTCGCAGTAAAACTTACGTCATGCGACATAGATTTCATCTTCGATTGGGACAGGATTGATACATGAGTTCCCGAGAACGATTGGAGATTCGCCATAAATCGTACGACACGAGACATTGTTTTACATATGGGATCGGTACAGGATTTATATATGAACAACGAAGAACTCTTGGAGTTTCGTAGTAAACACTACCATATGAGACAGAGATTTCCTCTTCGATTGGGACAGGATTGATATATGAAGAAGCAAATTCGCCGTAAACTTACGACACTAGACAAAAGAAGCACCGCAGAACGTTTCGCAGTAAACCCTACAACATGAACAAGAAATGTTTGGGACGCCGAAAAACGCTTGGATATTCGACACCACGACACGAGACAAAGACGGGATCGATACAGGATTTATACGGGAGCGCCGGTACAGGAGTTTTATAAATATGGACAGATTTCATCTTCGATTTGGACAGGATTGAATGCCGAAGAAGTTTCGCAGTAAACGACATGAGACCAGGATCGGTACAGAATTTATATACGAGCACCGAAAGAACGCCTGGAGTTTCGTCGTAAACTGTACGACACGAGACGAAGATTTTGGGACAGGATTTGATGTATGAGCACCGAAGAACCCATGGAGTTTTTAAACCGTAAACCCTTCGATTGGGACAGGAACATGAGAGCCGAAGAACACAAATTTTAAACCCTACAACACGGGACAAATTTTTCATACGGGTTCGGTCCGGGATTTATATATGAGCACCGAAGAACGCTTGGAGTTTCGTATTCGATTCGGAGAGGATTGATATCTTTGAGGAACGCTTGGAATTTCGCCGTAAACCCTACCACACGTGACACAGATTTCATCTTCGATTGGTATAGCATTTATATATGTGAGCCTGTGAACGCTTGCGGTTTCGCCGTAAAACCTACGGCACGAGACAATGATTTTCATACGGGATCTGTACAGTATTTACATAAGAGCACGGAAGAACTCTTGGAGTTTCGAAATAAACCCTATGACTTGAGACACAGATTTCATCTTCGATTGGGTCAGGATTGATATATGATACCTGAAGAACGCTTGAAGTTTCGCCGTAAACCCTACGACATGAGTCTCAGATTTCATCGTCGATTGGGTCAGGATTGATACATGTGAGCCGAAGAACGCTTGGAGTTTCGCACTAAACCCTACGACACGAGACGAAGATTTTCATACGGGATCGGTACAAGATTTATATATGATCAACTAAGAACGCTTGGAAGACACAGATTTCATCATCGATTGGGACAGAACTGATATATGAGAGCCGAAGAAAGCTTGGAGTTTCGCCATAAAACCTACGACGCAAGACACAGATTTTCACACGGGATCGGTACAGGATTTATATATGGGCACCGAAGAAATCTTTTGGTTTCGCTGTAAACCCTACGACGTGAGACACAGTTTTCAACTTCGATTTGGAGAGTATTGATATATGAGAGCCGAAGAACGCTTGGAGTTTAGCCGTAAAACCTACGACACGAGACGAAGTTTTTCATACGTGATCGGTGCAGGATTTATATATGAGCAACGAAGAACGCTTGGAGTTTCGCAGTAAACCCTACGACATGAGACACGGATTTCATCTTCGATTGGGACAAGATTGATATATGAGAGCCGAATGACCCTTGGAGTTTCGCCGTGAAACCTCCGACACGAGACAATGATTTTCATACTGGATCTGTACAGTATTTACATATGAGCACGGAAGAACCCTTGGAGTTTCGCAGTAAATCCTACGACATGAGACACCGATTTCATCTTTGATTGTGTGAGGACTGACATGGTGTTTCGCAGTAAACCTTAAGACACGAAACAAAGAATTTCATACGGGATATGTACAGGATTTATATATGAGCACCGAAGAACGCTTGGAGTTTAGCAGTAAACCCTCGGACACCAGACACAGATTTTCATCCGGGATCGGGACAGTTTTGTTATATGAGAGCCGAAGAACGAATGCAGGAAGGCAGGATGAAAGTTAGGAAGGAAGGAAGGAAGGAAGGAAGGGGGGTAGGAATGATGGCAGACAGGAAGGAAGGAAGAATAGAATGTAGGAAGAAGGAAAGGATATAGAAGTAAGGAACGTATGAAAGAAAGAAGAAAGGAAGGAAAGATGGTAGGAAGGAAGGAAGGAAGGAAGGAAGGAAGGAAGGAAGGAAGGAAGAACGGTAAGAATGTAGGAAAAAGGAAGGAATGATAGTCGAATGAAATGAAAGGTGCTAGGAAGGAAGGATGGAAGGTAGGAAGAATGGAAGGTAGGAAGGAAGGTGGGAAGGCAGGAAGGTAGGAATGAAGGACGGAACAAGGAAAGAAGAAAGAAGGTAGGAAGGAAGTAAGAATGGAAATACGAAAGGAAGGAATGAAATGAGGTAGGAAGGAAGGAAGTTAGGAAGGTTGGAAGGATAGAAGGAAGGAAGAAAAGAAGGAAGGAAGGAAGGAAGGAAGGAAGGATGGAAGGAAGGAAAGACGAATGTAAAGAATGAAAGAAGGTAGGAAGGAAGGAAGGAATGAAGGTGGGAAGGAAGGTAAGAAGGAGGGCAGGAAGGAAAAAAAAACGAAGGAAATTAAAAGCGATACAAAATTGAAGACGGCAACACCGTTAAGAAAGAAACAAAATGCAAATCCTGTTAAAAATAAAGAAAGAAGGAAAGAAAGAAAGAAAGAATGAAAAAGTAAAAACAAAAAGAATGAAATGAAGGAAAGAAACGGCGAAACGAAAATATTCAAACTGTCCAGAAAGGAAGATAATGCCAGAATATTTTCAGACCATTCTTGGCGCATTCTTAGAGCCCCCTTCGCGTACCAAAAGATAAGAAATCATCAATTGTAACTGGTTAGAGTGTGACGTCATTTGTAAGAAAGGGAAGAGACTAACAAGGAAAATCGAATACCAAGACGGTCAAAAAATGCACAGAAATAGAACCAAATAAAATGTCTGACCATTTTCATCTTTTCCATTTCCACATTTCCTTTTTTTATTAGGATTCTCATTAAGTGTTAACCTAAATTCTTAACTATATTTTGAGAATCCAGTTTTTCTTTTTGCTTTTTTTCTTTAATTTCATTTTTCCTTTCCTTCTTTTTCTTAATATTTTGTACATTTTCCGTTTTTCATTCATTAATTTTCTTTATTTCTATTTTTTTTTCTCTCATAAAATATTTGAATACGTTCCATTTCTTTCTTCCTTCGAATGTCACTATTTTTGGTGTCGTGTATTTTCTTACTCCGTTCTTCCTTCCTGTCTTTCTTTTTTTCTTTCTTTCTTTCTTTCTTTCTTTCTTCCTTTCTTTTTTTCTTTCTCCGTTCTTTCGTTTGTATCGCTTTCCTTCTAAATATTTTTCAAATTTCCACTTTCTTTCTTGATTTCGTTATGTCCTGTATTTAGCTTCTTCATTGCTTTATTAATTTCCTTCGCACTTTCTTCTTTGCTTCTTCCATTTCTTCGAAAACGATTGCATATTTAGTCTTTCTTTCTTTCAACATGCCTTCGGATCTGACATATTTGCCTTTTTCATTCGGTAGTTTTCTTTCTCTTTAAAGTTCTCACATATCTCCTAATTTCATTCCTTTTGTTTATTTATTTTTACTAATTTCCTTCATAATATCTTTTTTCTCTCTAAAATATTTTCATATGTTCGCTTTCATTCTTTCTTTCTTTTTTGCTTTCTTTTTCTAAAGCGTCTGTATATGTTAACTTTCTTTCTAAAGTATTTGCTTTCGCTTTCTTTCTTTTTCGTTTTACGTTCAATTTTCTTTTGCTTTCTTTCTTTCTAAAATGTTTGCATGTGTTCACTTTCCTTCAGTCTTTCTTTCCTCCTTTTTTTTTAAATCCTTTGAAAAGGTTCACTTTATTTTTCTTCTTTCTTTCTTTCTAAAATATTTGCACATTTTCTTTTTCTTTCTTTCTTTCTTTCTTTTTTTCTAAAATATTTGCACATTTTCTTTTTCTTTCTTTTCTTTCTTTCTTTCTAAAATATTTGAACGTTTCCTTTTTCTTTCTTTTCTTTCTTTTCTTTCTTTCTTTCTAAAATATTTGAACGTTTCCTTTTTCTTTCTTTTCTTTCTTTCTTTCTAAAATATTTGAACGTTTTCTTTTTCTTTCTTTTCTTTCTTTCTTTCTAAAATGTTTGCACATATTTCCTTTCTTTCTTTTATCGTTTTATTTTCTTTCTATTACGTTTTGCTTTTCCTTCTAAAATATTCATATATCTTTTAAAATCCTGAATATGTTCACTTTCTTTATTTCTTTCTTTCCAAAATATCTGCACATATTCTTTCTTTATTTTTTGTTGTTACTTTCTTTTTTAGTTTTGTATTTTTTCTTTCTTAAAATATTTTGATAATGTTCGCTTTCATTCCTTCATTCCTTCATTTTGCTTTTTCTCTGTTTACTTTTTTCTCCATCGTTTACAATTATTCATTTTATCCTTCTTCCTTCCTCCTTATTCCTTTTTCTCATATCTTAACGTTCATATGTTTCTACTTGACTAACTTCATAGGCATATTTAACTGACTAGCCATGGAGCAATTGTTCACAAACTCCGTCTCCCAGACCAATTCCATAGAGTAATCATAATCCCTGCATATTTCATTACTGTTACCTTTATTCAGAAGAACTTTCGTAGATCAGTGTTCGATCCCACCTGCTTGATATTTATTGTTTTGTGCTGCGTGAAGTTTATCTCTGTAAATATCGATAAACACATCTGTATTAACGACTTAAACATTGGCTAGAGGAAGAAACTTTTAATGTAATTTAGCGTACTATTAATTTGATATCGTCTTCTGCTAAAAACATTCCATGCATATTGATATTTTATCTGTTTATTGATATTGGAGAATACTTTTCATAGCTGATACAAAAAGAAGACATATGCCTTCCTATAATTTCCGCGCTATTTTCAATTTGAGCTCGCAAAACCCGACTTATACACGAGCATCTACTATATTTATTACAGTTTTAATGGATGTCAGTTATCGCCTGTTAATTTTCCCTTTATCCACTGTCCTCAAGGACACATGGCACAGTGAATAAATGCGTTGGTTAGATCCAGGGACAGAATCCAAAGAATGTGAGTTCAATACCCGGTTAAGGCAGTGGAGAACTTTCAGAGGGAAAATTAACAGAATATAACTGATAACTGACATCTATTAAAACATGGCACGTGGAACTAGAACAGTCTACCCCAGTGAGCGAAATAAAGGGTTCAGTTCAACAGTCCAACCACCTGAAGAAGGCCGCAGCGTACAACGGCCGAAACGTTGTAATAAATATGGCGACAAAGATGAGGACAATAGTCCGAATAATGTAAATAGTGTACATAGTACCTCATCTCAGAAATATAGACAGATACTGAAAGGCCGAAACGTTGTAATAAATATGACGACAAAGATGAGGACAATAGTCCGAATAATGTAAATAGTGTAGATAATACCTCATCTCAGAAATATAGACAGATACTGAAGAAGACTGGAGCGTGCAACGGCCGAAACGTTGTAATAAATATGGCAACAAAGATGCGGACAATAGTCCGAATAATGTAAATAATGTTCTTTCTTTTAAATCTGCATTTAAGCCTTACTTTCCTTCTCATTTTATCCCAATAGTATTCTTTATATATTTATTTCTTCCTATTCTCTATACCTTTTTTAATTAATCATTTCACCCTAAGAAAGGCTTTAAAGCCGCTAAGACAGAAGGAGTTACCGCGGTCGGAAGAAACTGAGAAATCGTATTTGTGGAGTGGGTTGATTTTGTTTAGCAGCGTATCAACATCTATGGATTATTTAATATCGAAATCGAAATATGTTTATAGGTTCAACTACCGTAATTCCCCATGTACAATAAGCCTTCATCCATAATACGCACTCCTATATTGTGCCTACTGCACAGACTCATTAACCTGTTTTTGTTCGATAAAATGTGAAATCTACCGGATCTGTATGCAGTTTTTCACAAAAAATGATTTTAAACATAGAATAATATTATTCTAATTTAGTTTTTATTTGACATCCTTATGGGGTCGCAATTGCCGAATATTAGAGTCAAATTGTCTGAAAGAAATGGTTGGCATTCTTTACTCTTGACTAATACTTTTTGCGTACTGTTTCTCTCCCTTCTGTACTGTTACCGTAATTCCCTATGTCGAATACGTTTTCATCCATAATACGCGTCCTAAAATTGTGCTGAAAGTGTAGGAAAATTCTTCTACTCACGCATAATACGCACTCCTTGTTTGCTAATCAAACCCTATAAATTATACCTCTCCACTTTCATTACGGCCAGCGCATCCTACTCTTATTCAAGTTGTAATTGAAGATATTTATCAAAATCTCCGTTTATCACGATTCTAAAAGGAAACGGAAATACCGATATTGTGCCTAATGCTCAGGCTCATTAACCTGTTTTTGCCCGATAAAATGTCCAATCTACCGGATCTGTGTGCAGTTTTTCACAAAAATGTTTTTAAACATAGAACAATATTATTTTAATTTAGTTTTATGATAATTCTTATTTTACTTTGCATTTGTAAGTATTGTTTGGTGCATATGACTGTATTTGACATCCTTATGCGGTCGCAATCGCCGAATGTTTGTGTCAAATTGTCGTATGTTTGGGGTGAGTAGTCATTTCGCAACTGAAATCGACCTATGAAACGGCAATTTTTTTAAAAGGTTTTTTGTAGCACCCCTAATTTTGCCTGTTATTTAAAAAAGAACGCGTATTATACATAGGGAATAATGATACACATATTTTGAACGCAATTGTATACCTTCAATTGCGTATTTCAATCGCGTATTTCTAAATGATCTTATATTTTCAGTTAATTAAGGAATTTGGTGCCTCAATTCCAGAACAATTTTCTTATTAATTGTAGAGCTGATAAAATATTACTTCCCTTTTCTTTTTTTATACTACATTGCTTCTATATGGAAATTATTTTACAATTTTTATGAAGAAAAGTAAAGCAGAATCCGTGTGTATTGCTGCTCATTCATAGAACCTGTTGAACGCTGGGAGAATGCTGCACGACTGTGTTACTTTTAAGACAAAAAATGTCCGTTTCTACAGAATATGTGTTAAATTAACTGCTTTTCATCGCACCGTAAGTTGATTTGATTTGTTTAGTGACATATCAACTCCTTAACCGGCAATGGAAAATGCTTAAATAGATTCGGAACATTATAAATCCTCTGTAGAGTTTGGAAACATGAAATAGTTTGTGCCAGGCTGACTTATTTGGTTGATTTATTTAGTGGTATACCAACTTCTATGGGTTATTTAATACTGAAATCTAAATATTTTGAACATAATTCTATGGCTTCAACTAAATATAATTTGAACGCAATTGTAAGCCTTCACCTACAAATAAAATGCATTGTTAAGTATTTTGTTAAAAAATGTATTCTTGGTCATTTTATTATGAGAATATATTGTTCCTCACGTTACTATAAAATGTATCGTTGATAATTTTATTATAGAAATGTGTTATTGTTCTTTCTACGATAAAATGTATTGTTGGTCATTTTGCTATAAAACTGTACTGCCGGTGATTTTGCTTTAAAGATTATTGCTAGTAATTTTACTATAAGAATATATTTTTATACTTTCATAGTGTTTTATTCTTGTTTTGGGGTTCACTATCTTTCCATAGCTGGGACTCTAACTGGTGCTACCACCCCAGGCAAGGATGAACCTGGGAACAACAGCAATTAAGTGTTGGTTGTATTCCATTGAAAACCTCCAATTTCCAGATCAGAGGACTTGCTGCCGGATATAGTTTATCGTCACACCCAGGATTGTATTTGAGGAGAAACGACAATAAAAGAACAGTATTCAACAAGACAAAAGAGGACGACTGGCGTTGCGTTTAAATTTTTGAAGATCGTAGTTGACATGAAAGCAAGAAATCGGAAACTGCCAATCTAGTAGTGAGCTTAATTTTGTGAAGTTGAGGTACCAAAGAAAAAAAAAGCTCATCAGAGAAATTACCATGCAAATATTTATAGAAAAGATGGAGGGAAGTTATGTTATAGTGGCGGGAATGTAATTGAAGCCGCGAAGAACCAGACCAGATATGACAGCAATGTTCGCTGCACGGACGAAGTTTAAACTTATAAAGGTTAAATTTGTCTATTACTGTACAGTGAATCAACTTTAATAGCAGCAGTCCTAGCAATTGATTAAATATAACCGTACCACTTAGACGAAGAAGGCCCAATGCTCCTGGAAGGCACGATGAATTACTCTCCAGGAGGAGAGTAACTCATAGCGCCTTCCAAGGGTATTAGATATGCCGACGGAAAGCAAAAAGGAAAAAAAAATTTCTTACACGATTAAAAGAAAGTTATTTCGTATTGGAGGTGTTATGATTAACAAGTCATTTCTTGCCCCAGTTAACAACAAATTGAAGGTCATTTTCGAGATCAGCTGCCAATTTGACTTTATCGAACCTTTCGGATTTACTATTAATGCAGAATTAAATAGTTGTATCAACAGCGTAGATGCCGAGTTGGAAACTGATGTAATCGGATAGGTCATTGATAATAATATGAAACAAAATAGGTCCATGGATGCTATTTGTTAAGAATGACCGAATCTAATAAAAAATATTAACATATATATAAAGTAATTTTATTATGTTTATACGTTCTTTTTATAGATACAAATATTTAAGTAAATGCTCTGTTTTTAATAAACAGTATTAACAAAATTTACCGGCCTGAATGTCCGAGAAATTTTCATAGAAAATATACGTCCTCCGACAGGAATCGAACCTGTATCCTATACGAAACCCTCATATAGCCTGACGGGCTTTTACCGATTTCGCCACAGAGGAGCGTTCCGATTAGCAAGGTCGATTTTACTTTTTTTAAACTACAATTCTCCATGATTTTCTCTCGTACACTCATATCTGCTCGATGCGTATCCAAATGTAAACAAATGACGTCACACATTATGAAATGGACAA